TCCATGCTTGAATTGAACTGTTTTTCAGATATTGAGGTTAGAAATGAGCATTTGGTCATATGCGACACCCTGCAAAATTTAAGCGTTGATTAACCAGCAAAATGCTGATGTGTTTTTACGATCTGTTCTAATATGAGAAATACCTCAACCGGAAATTTGTTACACAGGATCTAGAACATGAGAAAAAGATGATTTTCTAACCGCAACAGCTTAAACATTGGGTCAAAAAAATAATGAACCAAAACATGCTAATATTTAACAAATAAATCAAAATTAATGGTAACTGCTTAAAAGTGATTACTTCACGTTTACTTCTTTCGTCGCAGATTGGTGTATGATAAATAGTTGTAGTAGCTACTAGCGTCGGTCACGATCAGTGGACATTCATCTTTTTTTCATACAACGGCTGTGACATTCATCCTTTTTCCCCTGCACGGCAAGTTTTCAATTGGGTATAACTACGGACTGTACAGAACATCAATATTCTGACATTCATCTCTTTGCCCTGTACCCTTCATATGTTATAAACGTTAGTTACAGTATTGTAGGTAGCAATACACTTCTTAGTTTGAAAATATGTTGCTCTCTAATAGGGTAATCCATAACTACGCACCTTCGTAGTTCTTTATTCCCACGCCTACTGGCGGGAAAGTATTGTTATCGCCAAAAGTTTCGGAAATGAGATATGTTTCTTGGATGTTATATTACAGGCACATCAAGAAAAGCCAGTTCACTCATTTCCGTCAGTCAGTCGGTCTGTCTGCCTATTCTATGGCCCTTATATAAATGGGAAAGTACCGTTCGAATTCCGAAGCAATTTTTACATAATATCTAAGATGCCAATGACGAAAAAGCTTTATAGACTTTGAAAATCGGTCCATTTGCGGCGGAGAGAAATGCCAACAACGAAAAAAATGAAAAGCGCGTTCTTTAACTCTTCAGAGGATCCTGATCATTTTTGAAAAAAAATGGGTATAAGAAATTGGGAGGCGGAGGGTTATAGGTTGTATCGCAATTGTTTGATGTTAGTAAATTTTCAGCAAATGAATCGAGTACCTATCGGTCGCACTTGCGGTACGCCATGGCGTTGTAAATATTGCATGTTTGGTATCAATATGACGCATAGAAGCAGGTATCAAATGCCGCGGTGACGCGACATGCACGTAGGAGATGGGCGCAATTGTATCTTGGAGTGTAATGAATGGGGTTACTTGCTTTCGTGAGAAAATATCATATAGGTATCAAGAGCTTCTATGATCAGTTATCAGATATTGTCGGCAACCAGTTTTGCACCAGAGCTCTTATACGTACAAATTATTGTTAAACATCATGGAACGACGCTGTATTCAGTTGGTTACGGACGCAGAAGCGGAAAGCAAACAGCTATAGGTAGCAGCGTTTCACACATCGCAAGGGAACGATGTCTGTTGACTATAAAATGATCCACAGGGGCAATTTATTAATACGACTTAATACGACATTTTTTGATTCTGCTGCCACAAGATATCCTTTTAGAATGTCTTATGGAATGTTAAAGGACTAAATGTTCCGAAGGAGTCTTATCTTGCTTTGTCATCTGTCATAAACTATTTATTTTTTACACTTCCTTTAAATCGTCTTTTAATGTCGCCCAATTTATTTTTATCATTGAAAATTGGCTCGTTTTGATCTTGATGTTGAAGCTGAGACAAAATAGTTTTAGATTAACTTAAAATATACAAAGCTGATACAGTAAATTGAACTTATAGAAAATCTATTGCTTCTAATTACAGGTTTCCTATATACCATATGAGTATTAAAAGTTCAGTGTAATAGAGATCAAAGTTGCGTTGACAATAATGACTGTTAGGCTGTGAGACGAGTATTGTCAACAGAGAAATAACCAATTAATTGCTTCTAAAAAGAAGACGTAATTTTTGCAGCTTTCTAAGTCCAGTAACATAGAACGTAATGTATCTAAAGTAGGCCGATTACAAGCTTTTGTTTTAACGAGGTATCTGATTTGAAGCAGTAACAACATTTTGTTGTCATCCATAGAATTGAAAATGTTACTTGACACAGTTTCTCTTATATTTTGCTGAAAACACTTTTACTGCTCCATAAACACAATCCATTTACATTTAACTAAAATGGATTTATTTTTATCGCCTTCCTACCTCCACATCGATTTACATATATCGCTCCTGCACAATCTCAGACCTGCCCAGCATTATACGACTACCGTTACATTCACTATAATAGAGAACCACACCTGCTTATTTGCTTATTTGTTTAGAACTTGGCATACATTATGAATTATGCTTGCTGAAAATGTTGTTAACGTAATGGTGATAGATTAGCACGGTTATAAAATGAGCTTAAGTCAAAAGCTTTGCCAAAAAAAGAGTAAGCTGAGTTTAATAATGAAGTCAAAGCGTGGATCGCTTTAATTTTGAGAGAGCTAAAAGCTAAACGTTGTAGGGAATGTATATTAAAACGCTGATTTACATGGCATACGGACACAGAGGAATTGTGTTTATTGGTCTTAAAGATATTGAAAGAGAGTAGCTCGAATTCGCTTATACTTCAAAAGTACTCGGATGTCCCATTACAAAACACAAAAAATTGCATGTTTACATCAATGGAGAAAAATCAGTTTTTCTAAAATGTGTAAGCCGCAAGAAATTATTAAAGAAAATCGATCAAAAACTTCACGGTGTGTTAGATAATCTCTATCCACGTTTTTCTTCATATAATTGAATGGAAAAATCTGCCTTGGAAACAGATCGGCAGCCAAAAACTAATTTTTCATAGGTTAAAAAAATTAATAAAACAAATTATTCCATTACAAAACACAGTAACTGCCTTTGCTGTGTTTTGTGATGAGTACATACCTAAAAGATACTCCGTTACACAGAACAGTAACTGCTGCTTCCGTGTTTTGCTAAAAATAAATTTGAAATATACGATATAGACATATTTAATTTAATGAAATATAAAATGAAAAAGTACCTCTACTGTTATATAATAATAAAGCAGACAGTATAAATAAATAGGTACTTTAAACAAAAAAGAATAATATTTCAAAAATGGCGAAACGAACGAACTAATCACATACATAGGTTTGGTAACACAACGAAACATTAAGCTATACTAACGGGATAAGCAATAGTACCGATACATTCTATTCAAATATTGGAATCTACGACATCCGTTTGGTCATGGTTCACCAAATCTTAAGACGTTTCTGAGTCTGGTAGTGTTTGCCAAAACAGCTTACGGTTTTCCGGTATTAATGGCACTAGATTTTTTAAAATAAGTGCTTTTTTCGCTTGAGATTCCGTGGGAAATTAATCACTTTTTGTAGTAAATCCATAGAGTATAAACGTTTCGCGCAACCAGCTATTTCGGTAGTATTTTTTATATTCTAGATTTGCCTTTTCTGCCTTAGCATGGTGGAAATTTAGCTGATATTGAATTTTATCGTCTTCTTTATTTTGTGTGTTCTTTAACAATTTGCACTCTTCACAGATATCAGATTAGGGTTGATAAAAAGAAATATTCATTTTCTTCAAAACTTGAGTACTTCGATTTTGCAAACGGATGGGTGTTTTGTCACAAAATCATTTCCTCATATGTCAGCTCTCTTGGTAGATACCTAACATTAGGTGCATTCTTCCTCCGATAGTGACTCACTGATGGCTTGAATGACTCAATATGTTATTATATCTCGATTGGTTTGGTTACCACAGCCACCTCTATGTTCCTCTACCTGATCTCCACAAGGACTTTTTTTAATTACTGCCACTAATTCTGTTATTACAGAATCGTTGCAATACCTAAAGTATTCAAACAAGTATCTCTGCATACCTCTATGTCCCTAGAATCTTCTAATGGTATAACGCCTTGATTCACACCGCTTACGTTTGGCTAACTGGGTTCTACATTTAACAGGAACCAGCTTTATTTGCTTGTACTACCACTTTCGTCAACTCGTGTACTCTAAATTCCAGTACTACATCCAGATATTGCCTCGATGTTCTTCTGTTAATTTTTGGTACATTATACCAAATTTACCTTTACACAGAGGACAGGACGTTTTTCCTTATCCCTTTCATTTTTTTGTTTTCCCTTTGGCCTTTTTCTACTATTTTTTACTGCTGTGCGACTCACTTTGTTAATTACTTCTGTCTCAGCACTATTTACCTATGAAAAATACAAAATAAACAGTAAATTTAGTTAATTAAAAAATAAGTTGGAATCTTACCAACAAACTAGCATTTTTTTCAGAATAGCACTGGGCGACTTGTTCTCTTTGTTGGCATCCTAAAAAATCATTTGGTTCAATGTATTGTATAGATTAATATCCTAAACCACAGTATAAATAATAAAAACCTTCCTAACCCGAGCTGACTTCTGAACTAGCTTTTTTTTGGTATTCATTTTCCTCTTCTTTACCTTAATTTTAATTTTGTCATCATTTTCTTCGCTATCGCTAGAATATGGTTGAGGTGTGGGGCAGTAATCCTTATCTTGGTCATTGTCATCGACTGCGCTTTATGCGATTAAATTTCAAATCTTCAATTTCTCCTGATAAATCGTTAAAAGAGTAAAAAGCTTTCGACCTTTTTGGGTATGTTTCTTTTTGATTTTCACTCTCATGGTTGCATACAAAAAGTGAAGGTGTTTAAACATTTACTTTGGAAAAAGCGGGAGTTCATCGATATTCTAAAAAAATAAAAAATTACTGACGATGAAATTATAATACGTTTTAGAAATGTTTTTAGTTACCTTCTTTAACCTCGAGTGTGCCGAAGAAACTATATTCTTCGTTCGTGTACGAGGGATGTCTTTTAAGTTTTGCATATAGAAACATAGTAGGCCGCGCGGATCGAACGTCAGTACTGAATCTTAACCTCACTCTTTAGTAAACTTAAATTCAAAGTTTCACAACAATACGTGCAGTGTTCTCACTACAGTGAATTTTCACCAAGTCATTAGAAAAATGGAACTCAACTGAGAACATTTTCGCGCTATAATTTATTACAACATTCAGAGACAATTATCGCAACAAGAATGCCTTGCAGAGTTACTGTCTGTTTTCGACAACGAAGCATCAGTCGACAATTTCCCGTTGGTATGGAGAATTCAAACGTGGACGGGTGAGTGTTAGCGACGATTCAGGGTGGATGCACCAAAATCGGCAGTCATCATTGATGGATAGACATGTGACAGATCGCGAGATTGAGGTGTCCTTGAAGATCTCAATTCAAAAAATTGTACATGAAGAATTAGGAGTAAGAAAATTAGTTTCTCGTTGGATACCCCACCTGACGGAAGAAAACGTGGAATTATTGGACCATCCTCCATATAGTCCTAACGATTTATTTACTTTCCCGAAAATTAAAAACAGACTGCGTGGTCAAAAGTTCCAGTCACCAGAAGAAGCAGTTGACGCATTCAAAAATGCCGTTTTGGATCTGCCAGCAAACAAGTGGAATAAGTGCTTCAAAAATTGGTTCGAGCGCATGCAGATGTGTATTAATCTTCGAGGAGAATACTTCGAAAAACAATAAAGTCATTTAGAACTACCTACCGTGTTGTTTTATTTCCATATGCAAAACTTAAAAGACATCCCTCGTACTACATGCCAGCATCGTCTCACGGGGCAGGATCCTCTCACTATGTGGTTAGAGGCTAACTGATTGAACAACGCGGTATGTCTATAGTTACAGGGTAGATGGTAGGGGTTCATTGCACTCTTGCTGGATAAATTGGGAGACGATTTCTCAGATCAAAACACAGTAACTACAAAAACCATAACAAAACCCAGTAAGTACTTAGCAGTTACATGGTTTTGATATGGGTTTTGTTAGTTACTGTGCTTTGCGCATACCGTATTTTCCTTATTTATGGACCGATTTTAGTTTTAACAATACCAGAAGGTAGAGCAAAACACAGCAAGTTCAAATTTAATAAAAACTCGATTTTGACAAAAATGTCGGTTACTGTGCTTTGTAATGGGACAGCCGTACTACTGAAGTGACCCAACCATACTAGGATACTCGTATTTAATTGTATTATTTAAATGCGTCAAACAATCTGAACAACAAGTATTGAAGTTTGTTCAGCTATCCCACTACCATACAATAATAACTAAGAAAATGGCGGCAAGTAGGTTGACTCTACTCTTCCCACATAACGTTGTCATCAGTTACGTTTACGAAATGATGACAGTTTTGCGTGGGAATACAGAGTCAACCTACTTGATGCCATTTTTTTTCCATCAAGTTACTGGAGAAATCACCCGATCTGGTAAGGTAAGGGAATGTCGGTCTGGAAAAACGATGTCAAGTAGATTAACTTGGTACAAATACTCTTTAGTACAATATTGAAAACGAGACTATACTATAACTATCTAAAACTGTAATGACTCATCGATGTTCACGTGAACATCACTTAACTACCAGTAGTCGGCTGTTCATAGGCGGGGTATGAATGTTTAACATGGGTGAACTAGATTTGTCACACGCTTAATAAAGAGTGGTTTGAAACATATTGTAAGTCAAAAATTTGGGAATTACCTTTATTCATCGTCGCTTCCAATCACATCTGACAGTAATAAACTGTCGCTATCGGTTTTCTCGTTGAAATTGACTATAACTGGCTCTATGATGGTGTCGATGTGGTGGTCAAGCTGCCACATTTTTGTTTCTTCCTTCACAACATGACGGAGAGCATTCTGCCAAGCTTCGGGCGTTACTAGCTGTATGGAAGTCTCAAGTAAAACCTTAACGTCTGGTAATTTGAAGGTTGTGTTACGGCGCGCAATATAACCCTTCACTTGAGCCCAGATGAGCTGTATTGGGTTCAGTTCACAGTGGTAGGGCGGTAACCGCAGCACAGTGACACCACATTGACGGGCCATCTCATCAGTCACGTAACTAATGTTCGCAGGTTTGTGCTGTTTAATTTTTTCATACAATTCCGCATCATAACAATAACAATTACACAACAATTCTTATAAAAACACACAATATGCGATCGCTCAACGAAACACGTTCCAATGCGTTGCCGACGCCTATGAGTCTGCCGGTCGAGGCGCGTCTTTGATTTCATTGGTTCTACCGGCGGAGAACAATCAGCCATTATTTCCATCTCTGTCTGTGCTGTTGACCACCGCAAAGCCACAGAAACGACATATGTCGTACGCTATATGGCTGTACTGGAAGGAAGCCGGGATCGAGCTCTGATCACGTGTTGATCACGCGTATGAGTCATTACAGTTTTAAATAGTTGTAGTATAGTAATATTATTTGCGGTATTCGCTTTTACAGACTCAACTGCTCCCGCAGCCCAGCCCCTACAATATTATTGCATCAACCGACTTCATTCCATATTCTACAATAGTTTGTCTTGCAAAACAAATAATAATTAGGGTTGGAGTTCTCATAAGACATATCACTGCACGATCTATGTATCTAAATGAGACTTAAATGAATCTCTCCAGATATCAGAAATATTGACCCCTAAATTATTGCAACTTAACAACAATACCTTTGACAGCCATAATTATATTCTGGTAGATATGAGTCCTCATAAAAATATTGCTTATAGGCTAACCACTTGTTCGCTGCCACCAGAGGTCTATGTCCTATTCTACGGAATGTTTCTAAAAAAGTTGCATATTTTCTGTTTAATAAGCAGCATGTTGTCGCGTCTCATTCATATACACGAGTTCGTACGATCATGTAACAGATCGTGCTTCATGAGATGTGTTTCTCTAGTGAACGTCGAGTGTCGCGTATAGCGTATAGTATAAGATGTTCTTAAAGTTTGGACTTTACACAGAATAATAATAATAATAATATTTATTTACTCTAAAATACAGGGAACATGAAACGAGTAAATAAATATAATATATCCATAGGAGGACAACGCCTGTGCATGGATCATATGTATGTTGAATTGCAAAATATAATAAAATAGAGAGAAAAAAGAAATTATTGGTAAGAATGGTAGAGCATTTATTGTGTAATATTTGAGATTATTTTATTAATTTGATTTCTCCCAATCGTGTTAATAAATTTTTTTAATTTTTTTTTGAAGCCTAATGTATTGCGTAATTGTTTTAAATTATTTGGTAAATGTTCGTACAATTTTGGAGCTATATACAGGTGACATCGTTTCATTAGGGATTTGTTTGGTTTAGGAACATTTTTTGCGCGTAATTTATATCTGGTTTTATGATTATGTTTAATTATGTCGTGTTCACTAATAGTTTTGTGATAATGAGTGATGGTATGTAAGAAGTAAAGTTGTTTAGTATCATATACTTGTGCATCATTATATAAGTCATTAGTTGGGTATAATTTTGATTTGCCTAACACAGATTTTAAAATTCTTCTTTGAAGTACATCTAAATCGTTAAAGTATGTCGTGCATGCAGCACCCCACACTACTATACCATATGTTATGTGTGGCTCGACTAAAGCTTGATATATTATTCGTAGATAATATTCAGTTAATATACCGGTTAGAAATTTTATTTTACATGCTATGAATCTAATTTTCTTTAGTATGTGAGAAATATGTACATCCCATCTCAAGTGGGGATCTAGATAAATTCCTAAATATTTTGTATCATTAACTCTATTGATTTTTATATTTTTATCATTTACCTTAAACTGAAGGTGGTTATATTTTGGTAGATGATTAGATAGTGATGAAAATGGTAAAAAATGAGTTTTAGTAAAGTTAATTGTTAATTTTCGGTTATTAAACCACTGAATAATTTTGCAAAAGTCATTTTGGATAATATCTTTTAAGTCGTTCCAATCCTTACCTTTATAGAGTATAGCAGTATCGTCTGCAAAACTGACTATTTTACCAGTACTGTTAATTTTTAATATATCGTTTAAATAAATATTGAATAACAGAGGACCCAAAATTGTACCTTGTGGAATACGAGAGATGTCTTTTAAGTTTTGCATATGGAAATAAAACAACACGGTAGGTAGTTTTAAATAACTTTATTGTTTTTCAAAGTATTCTCCACGAAGATCTGCATGCGCTCGAACCAATTCTCGAAACACTTATTCCACTCGTTTGCTGGCAGATCCAAAACGCCATTTTTGAACGCGTCAACTGCTTCTTCTGGTGACTGGAACCTTTGACCACTCAGTCTGTTTTTAATTTTCGGGAAAGCAAAGAAACCGTTAGGACTTAGATCGGGACTATATGGAGGATGGTCCAATAATTCCACGTTTTCTTCTGTTAAATACTGCCTTGTTTTTTGGGCTGTGCGCGAGCTTGCATTGTCTTGGTGGAGGATGATTCTTCTTTCGGGGTTGATTTTTCGAAGCTTGGTGATGACTTTTGGCAAACAAATGGCGGTATACCAATACCCAGTAACAGTTATTTACTCATTAAGAGGAATTGTTGCAATATGACCCGCTTTTGACACAAATGTCGCGACCATCTTTTTCGAAACACTTCGAGAACGGATGACTTTTGTTGGCTCTTCTTCACCTTGGAACACCCAAACAGCCGACTGTCGTTTATTTTCTGTTTCATAACAGTAAATCCACGATTCATCACCACTAACAATGCTGTACACATTTTTTGAGTTTCCGAAATTGAAACGGTCAAGCGTTTTTTGACTCCAATTAACCCTGGCTGCTTTCTGTTCTTCAGTCAACAGGTGGGGTATCCAACGAAAAACTAATTTTCTTACTATTAATACTTCATGTGAAATTTTTTGAATTGAGTTCTTTGAGATATTAAAGAACGCCTCAATCTTGCGATATGTCACATGTCTATCTTCAATGATGAGTTTGCACACAGCATCGACGTTTTCCTGGGTGACTGCCGTTTTTGGTGCACCCACCCTGGAATCCTCGCTAAGACTCACCCGTCCACGTTTGAATTCTCCATACCAACGGGAAATTGTCGACATGTGGCGCTTCATTGCCGAAAACAGACAGTAACCCAGCAAGGCATTCTTGTTGCGATAATTGTCTCTGAAAGTTGGAATAAATTATGGCGCGAAAATATTCTCGGTTGAGTTCCATTTTTCTAATGACACTTAAAAATTCACTGTAGTGAGAACACTGCACGTATTGTTGTGAAACTTTGAATTTAAGTTTACTAAGGAGTGAGATTAAGATTCAGTACTGACGTTCGATCCGCGTTCTCTTAAAAATACATACACCAAAGCCTTTAGGTACCTGAAATATTAAGTTCCGAAAAATCTCAATGGGCCAACCCGCATACTACGTAAAAAGCTATGATGTTTTATGCTATCCAAAGCAGGCCCCGCGAATTACAACACTGCTATGATGATGATCTCATATGTGGAAATGCTTAGATTTGCACTTTTCAATTCCTAGTTCTAGCCTACGGTATAAATAGGAGGTACTTGTAAAAAATGTAAGCAGTACTTATTCGTCTTCTGTTAAATAAACTCGTTTTTTAAAAGTCGTTCGTTGTTTACATATTCATAATTCGCGCGGTATGTAGGTTATCTTAGTTTATTTAAAGAATCGGATTTGAAGAGCCAATATTGGCATATAGC